CCTCCCTCCCTCTTTGGGATCCCAGCTGGTGGTGGCAGGAAGCGCATCATCCCTTCGGCTGTCTTTCCAAAAACTGTAGTCCCGCCTCCGGGAGGGCAGGAAGGCGGCTGGTCCGCTCTGGGCTCTCCCCTGGTCCCGGTGTCTCTTCCCCCCCCCCTTGTTCTGGGGCTCACTCCGTGGCTTGGCTTCTCCCCAGAGCGTTTTGGAGCTCCCCTCGCGGTGCCTGCCGGCCTCCCCCTCCTCCTCTCCCTCCCGCAAGGAGCGCCGCTATGAAGGGGCCCTTTCAGCCCCTCGGCCGTGGCTCTGGGCCGGCCGGATGTGCCTTGCTTGGCTGCCCCGTTGGCGGCACGGTGGCTTTGCCGGTGCTTCTCTTGGCCTCCTTGGCCCTGAAAGGCTCCCTTGTGCTCCCCTGTGCCTCTTGGCGGAGGGTGCCGTCCCTTCCCTTGCGCGCTCCCAATGCGCCTTTTGTGCTCCCTTGGCTGTCTTGAGCGAGGGAGGGAGGGAGGATGGGACCCCTGCTTCCTCTTCTTTTCTGCTCGGGCAGAAGCTCCCTTTTGACTCAGAGCTGCGTTCGGAGGGAGGGAGGGCAGGCGGCCAGCGGTCGATCCTTTGGCCTTCGCCAGAGGAGCCCGGCCTCGGCACCCGGCCCGTCCGAGGAGAGGCCAGACCTGCTTGGCCCCGAACGTGCCAGGTGTGCCAAGGCCTTTCCTCCTGCCTTGGGAGATCCCACCAGGAACCAGCCCGTGACGTCTTTGAGCACTCTTGAGCGTGTGCCTGGTTGGGAAGCCCCCGTGCGCTGGGTGTCCCGCGCTGGGGATCAGGCAGGGGCACGGCCCTTTCCCCACCTCTAGCCAAGAGGCTCGTTGGGAGCCGAGGCACTTTCTCTCCAGCCGGCCGAAGCCTCTGCTCTCCCCAGGAAGGGAGCGGGCTCCTGCCAAGGCCTGCAACGGCGTCTGCCTTGCCCTCGTGTCCTGAGGGGTCTCGGGGGGAGGGGGCCTCCGGCCTCTGCATCTGCCGTGGAGCTGAATGGAAGTGACGCCCACACTCCTTTCAGGCCAGGGACGGTGCTCCGCTTGGGGGGGGGGAGGAGTGTGCTCCCCCCAGGCCCCCTCCACGGTCGCCTCCTCCTTGTGCAAGCCGGGGGTCCAAGAGGAGAGGCTGCTGTGACCCTGGACGTGTGTGTCCCCCCCCCCC